AGCCATTTAACTGCAGGACAAGAACAGAAGTTCATACTTGCACTAATGCAGGTGAGATGAGATACGATGGGAGTGTGGACCACAATAACCTTTAAACACAGTAACCTTTAAAAAGGATGCCGAAGAGGGAACAAATTCACATCAGCTTTAGTTACTTCATCTCTCTCGAGTTGGTGGTCAAGGGAGTGGGACAGAGAAGGAATGGAGAATTGTGTCCTGGGTGATCTTCATTAATACAGATTATGAAAGAGAATGTTGGGAAATTGAAGAGGTGATCAACTAATTAGGGTTATTTTAAATTTGGGATGTATATTAAACACAGAAGGTCCCTGAAACCCTTGAATATAGGATTCTGGAAGCACAAAGTTTGGTCTGTCCTGGATAAAAAAGGTAGTTGAGTATAAATACATGCTGGAAATTTATATTTTTGTTTCTCGTATTTGGCTATGGATAGATTCTTCTTCGGAAATACAGAGACAGAGTAGAGATTCACAAAGAATTATTCTGCTGATAATTCTTTATGGTGCAATAGTCTGTTTTGGTGGGATAAGCAGAAGGTTTAGAGTAACAAGGCCAAATTCAAATAAACTTTTACCTACAGGATAAATGACCATGAGGAAATAAATTTCTCCAGGATTCAGATTTCTCATTGGTGAAATGAACTAAAGACTGTCCATTTTCATTTCTAGACCTCATGTTTCTTATTCAGAATTGCTTAAGCCATTAACTTTCCAGCTGCACTTGGATTTAGGGCTGGCAGATTGTTTGCATCTTCAGAATCTGCACTTCTAGTATGAAGTCAAAGAGGAAATCCATATTATTACTTATAAAGTCAAATCCAAGTTGCGTATTTGACTATTGACTCCAACTGTCTGGCATTTTCAGGTAGATGCAGTTTGGTTATTCTATCTGAATTTGACTTAATTTTTCTTGAGGGTCACGAAGGTACCGTAAGTGTATTTTATTCTGTAAGATATAAAGGGCAATTATTCAAACAAAAAAGATCTATAACCGGATCCTGGAGCATGCATATTTCCACAGGTTTTTCTTCCATTTAGAGATGGAGTGAAGCTCTCAATTTATCAGTTCAAGTAATTTACATCAGATATTAGGGGAGTAGTCTCCAGGGGCCCTTGGTTATTTATTTAAAACTCTTATATCCTCTTTTCCCCAACATTTTTCTCCTTACATTTTTCTTTTTGATCTCATTTACTTGTAAAGTAATTGGGAAAAGTGTCACTTCCTCTCCATTCTAACACTTTTTAACAAGCTTGTACTATCAGTAAAGTTTCTATTTATTTGTATAGTCGTATTAACTCATTTATTCAACCAATATTTATTGACTACCTACTAAGTGCTAACAGGCTGCTGGGCTGGTGCTGAGGATGTAATGACAATAGAGAATGATGTGGCCGCCTGCCTCCGCCCCCATGAAATTTCCAGTCCAGCCCTCCCAGCGAGTCTGAAGGTGCAGTTCATTTTGTAATTGACATAGCTGAATGATCAGTAGTCAGGAAAGGGGAGGAAAGCTGCATGTACCATCTGTCCTGAAAACTGCAGGGGAATTTTAGGGAAATCAAACGTAATCACAGATTATATTTAGAATAGGATTGAACAGAGAATATTAACTTAAGGTCATAACATACCTTGCAGGTATTTATTCACTGTTGTGACATGACTTTATTAAAGCACTTAGACAACAGACAAAATTAAGTCTTAGTTTTTGTAAGATTAAAAGTTGAGTAGAAAAAGCAAATATAGGTTGGCATGGTATTTCTACATATAGTATTGCTGAGCGTGTTCATTTTATAAGGATGCTGTCAAGTAAAGGGTTTCTTAAGTGTAGGGTTAGAATCCAAAACTGGTATGATATTCTACATCAATTTAAGCAAACATGAAAATTGAATAAATATTAATGAAATGTCAAAAACAACTTTATTCTGTATACTCTACTTGCTCTTATGAACATGGCTGTATTCAAGTACCTTATGAAATATTTTGTTTTCACCCAATTTCTTATGCCAAATACACCATCAGTTTTGAAAATTGAGATGGCAAAAGCTACTTTATAATGATCAAAATGTATCTTATCAGGAAATTACTGACCTGCACTTCATTGTATTAAGTTGAATAAGAATGACTCCAAATCTTGATTTTTCCCTCTAAAAACATTCATCATTCATTTTCTTAAGATGATTTTTTAAGAAACAAACACGCTAAGCTTTCTTGAAAATAAATTAAAATGGTTAAGTTTGTTAACAATAAACAATTAGACAACTGAACTGAAGTAGGGTCCTCTGGGTGGGCAAATGACAATGTGTATTAAATCATCAGTTCTGGGACGGGATAAGGAGAGGGAACTGGGCCTTAGGGACTACATGGTTCATATTTATAGTTGAAGGTTCTGGGGAAGCCTACAGATGTGATCTTTATTAATCCCAATATTTTATTTTATACCTGAATTTATAATTGAGTCTTAAAATCAAATGAGATGTCATTGCATCACCATCTGTTGTTTCAAAAATAAGAGGCACACTCAGATGTTGTCAACGGCCACTTTAAACAGATGAATTCTTCTCGTTTTCTAAAGCTGTTTTTGAAATATTTTCGGAAAAGTTTTCAATTTAATAGAAAGAAAAATTACGAAGGTAAGTGGAAACATTCCCAACAGCCTTGCATCTACTGCTCAGAATAAATAAACGGCAAGATATGTTTTATTTCCTAGCGCTCTTCCTCACTCACTCACCACCCCACTGTGATGCTCACAATGATTTTAGTTCTTAGATGATGGAAGGACTGCAGTCTTCCATGCTCAGGCCCAGCCTAGAAGTCAACAGCATGGCAGAGAGTGGGTGCCATTTTGTTCCCGGGGCAGCCCCTTTTTAGACGTTAGTGGTGACATATCTACATCATATATGCATGGTGTGGTTGGCAGGATGTCTGGAAAAATTATATTGTCTCATTTTTCTAGATCTACCAATATGACATTGGGCCAAAACATGGGAAGATAGAGGCAAGGATGCTTTCTACTTTGTTTCGATTTTCTTTAACATACACCAAATAGTTTTATAGCAATCATTTTATTTTGTCCTCTAAATTATGCTGTAATTATTTCTGAGCTGTTTATCAAGTTATGCAAACATGTGTGCATATAGATTTTTTAATTTATGGCTACCTAAAATTTATGGACATATATACATACCATATATAATCTTGGTATTACATATGTGTATGTATATGTAAGCATACACACGTGCGTACAAGCAATTCAGTACCGTGAAAGCAATAATCCCAAATGAAAACACATTCCCGAAGTGTGACTTGTCATTCTTTATTCATTTGTCATCGTAACTCAAATATGAATTCAGGTTTCTAAAACCAACAGATTCAGTACAGAAACTCAGGGTATCATGTGCAGGGGTGGGGGTGAAATGTTCTGTTCATTCTGACCTGAGGGCTGGTTGCACCTGTCAGAAGACCTCAATTTTAACAGAACTAACGTCCATGACTAGTATGTTGCTTTCAAATCCCAAAGCCTGCATGTTCCTGAATCACACCATTAAATTCCACAGGAGAGATCCCTTTGAATGGTCTTCTACTTTAATAGAGGAAATTTCTGCCGATCACAAGAAGTTTAAGGAACAACCATTTTCTCCCGGTTCCACTTTCCCTACCTTCTTTAACCTACCTGTCATGCCTGGATAGGCCATTCTTTGTTTGAATGTCTAAACAAAGCATAGAGGAAAAACATTTAAAGAAATAAAAAGGAGGGTAACCATTCCAGCAATTTGTCATTGGAACTTTAATGGTGTATCTGTGGAAAAGTAATAAATGGGCTATAGTTCATTAGGCAAGAATAAATTTCCCTCCATAATTTTATCTTTGTTTAATTGAATATTTAATTAGTATAAATATAAAACTAATTTTTGAATGTGTTCAGTACATTTAGCAAGAAGACTTGGTGCTGAGCTCTGTCCAGAAACACTTCTGCAGATACGGACAGCCACTGTGCCCTCCGTGTCCTCCTCAGTGTGCTGATAGAAGTGAGTGGGTCATTTGGCATTAGCAAAGGAGTAAGTTCGCATTTGCACTGAGCTGGATCTTGCCAGACTGTGCATATTGGAACCCGCAGACAGAGGCTGCTTTCACGTTGATGAATGGGTTTTTTCAAGCGTTCTGCTCCCTAGTTATGAGAAGGGTGACCCGGTCAGGAGACGACTTTATGAAGCTATAAAAAATGTATGTCACTTCGGACTCTCTAATGTCATGGGGAAGGGAAAAAAAAAAAAAAAAAACCTGTACAAAAATGGCAGGGTAATAAGGCTGTTTTCAATGCTCGAAATAGCTTTCTGTCTGCAGTCATATGTAGCCCTGAAACCCGGGCCATAGAGGGTGTCCTGGATGCATTGTCATTGAGTAGATTAGAAAAAAAAAAAAAATATATATATATATATATAGAGCTTTGTTTGGCTTTTCTTGCCTTCACAGAAATGCTTATGGTGATGACAGTAAGACATTTCAAAATGCAGGTCTGGTAGCTCTGTGTCAGAACTAGGAAAGGTGCAATGTCTTTTTAAAAGTAAGCAATCTACTCAAGGTGGTGATGACTTTTAAGTATGCAGAGAAGCTAGAAAGGGAAGCACTACAAAGCAAACACATTTTGAAAGGGCTTTTTTCATCTAATATTTTATAAAGTCTTTCCTCTGTATCACAAAGATGTTTCTTTCTTTTTTTTTTTTTTTTTAAGGGAGGTTTTCCAGGTACACTTACCCCTTATGCTTTCCATCGAATACTCTGGGGTTTACAGATAGGGACATGTCGATTTTAACAAAAGCAGCCCTCTGTAGACCCATAATTTAGCATTCATGGAATTCTTTCATTCCTCTCATCAATATGCATATTTCCCAGTATCAGGTGCTTTCCTTTTTGATATGTCACGCATTTCATAACTCATGTTCAGCTGTTAATTTACACAAGATAGGGAACACAGAGGACAAAGGTCAGAGGTTTTGCCTTTATTAGGGCTTCAATTAGTCATAGGTGAACTTTGGAAAGCCTCAACTGGATTCAAACAACTGGTTGAATCTTACAACAGCGGAGCATTCCCTTCCAAATCCAGGTATACTTTATCATTCCTTCTCTGGGACTTGTAGATTTCCCCCGTTAACATACCTAGAAAGAGGAAAAATATGTAAAAGGCTGTAAGCTCAATTTTTCAGTTATAGCAAATGTGAGGCTCATAGATAGTTCTGAAGAGAGAAGGAGAGAACTGAATTTTTCACCTGTAGACACTAATATGACATTTCTTACCCTTTTCCTCATGAAGATGTATGCCTATCAGGTAGCTTTCTAGTCCCATTCTGAAGAACATTGGCCATGGACATTGATTTTGCTTGCCCCGGTCACTATGCTTTGCAGCATGCAGTCTCTCCATTCTGGTCCCAACTGACCCAAAGCCCATGAATTGCCTTGCTCTAAGAATATTCCCCCAAATGGGAAACTACTTTGTGCAACAACAAAACCACTCAATAAAGTCCACTCTCTTAAAGAAATAGGCATATGAGACACATACAAGGAGCTGGCAGTTAACATAAGCAGGCAGAGAGAAAAGTAGAGACAGGAAAATGCTGAATCATAGGAAGGTAGAGACTACTGAGATTGTTGTCCTGCACCAAAAAAGTAATGGCATCAGAGCACATTCCGGGACTCCTCAGGACCTCACTAATTAACCGCTCATTCTGACCTCCCTGGGAATTATAAAACTCCATCACCTGTAAAGTCCTGAGCTGTTTTCTTTGCAGCCTGAGTGAACTGACCTAATACAAGAGCATATGTTCATATTTTAAAAGAAGTCTCATTCTACTAAAGAGTTTTTTTGAACTTTACATTAAAAACAACCCAGAAATAAAAGGGGGACAGACTGATACTTGTCTTTAAAGCATTTTAAAGAAGAGAGTAAATATGTACTCAATGGAGGCTTAAGATGCAAGTTAAGATGAGAAACCCTGACGGGTGCGGTGGCTCATGCCTGTAATCCCAGCACTTTGGGAGGCCGAGGCTGAAGGATCATGAGGTCAGGAGATGGAGACCATCCTGGCTAACAAGTTGAAACCTGGTCTCTCCTAAAAATACAAAAAATTAGCCGGATGTGGTGGTGGGTGCCTGTAGCCCCAGCTACTCAGGAGGCTGAGGCAGGAGAATGGCTTGAACCCGGAAGGCGGAGGTTGCATTGAGCCGAGATCAGGCCACTGCACTCCAGCCTGGGCGACAGAGAAAGACTCTGTCAAAAAAAAAAAAAAAAAAAAAAAAATGGGAGACCCAGGGGGTAAAAGACAATAAAAGCAGGTTCATTAAAATTGCAGTGAACACTGATATAAGAGGGAGATCCTGTGGCATTTTCAGTCCTGGATCTCATTGGCCCAACATATTCTCATGGTTTAATATCATATGAAGGATGGGCGAGCAAGGAGTGCCCTCTGCCCAAGAGACAGGCCAAAAGGGGGTGCGTTGTCTGCAAAGAATCTTAAAATAATCATAAAACTGACTAAAGTAGATCTTTTTATTAACACCACCATTCCTTCCCTAACCTCAACCCTCAGAACTCTATTGCTATTTTGCACAGTGAAGAATGTGAGTCTTCACAGCATAAAACGGAGTTCTTGAGTAGAAAATTTGTGACTTTTCAGCCTCAAGAAATCAGAAGGTCTAACTTTGTCATAACAAATGCTCCCAAGAGAACTCTGAAGACAGATATTTAGTGTGAGGTTTCATTTTTCCGAAGTACCCATGCTTTCCAAGTCTTTTAGTTGATAGCATAAAACAGATTATTTTCTCAAGAAAAATTCCACATCACTTAAGAATTTATTAACAATTTGCATAATTGCTTAAGTAATCTGCATAATTGACAGGAAGTTTAATTTGACCCTAGTTCAACTGTAACACTTAGGTTTTAAACTGAAATTGGTATAATTCATTTATGAAAGTAATTAAGCCGTGGTGTCTAACAAATACATCGCATGCTGCCTGAGGCCCCCAAGACCAGAACATGCTATTAGAATGTTTTATTTAAATATGTCGAATCTGTTCATCTCCACAGTCACCCATGTTAAACTAGAGCAAATGGCTTATTTGACCTTGAGCTTCGTGCTTTTGAGAAAAGGGTGTTTGAGGCACATTAATTCAACTATTTTTCTAGACAAATCCACAAGCCAAAGTTTCTAAGAAAAGGCTGAGATTTACTTATATTTTACTTCCGGAAAGTGTTCACATTCTATGATAATCACAAAAGTGCTTAGACATATATATTTGTAGTAGCAAGACCAAGTAAAAACCCCAAAATAATGAATTATGAAGTTATAACAAGATGACGAATATTCACAAGTGTGAGAGAAGTGGTGACTCTGTTTACCTTCCCCGAAATGCATACTTTTTATATTTAAATGCATAGTTAATTCAACTAATCGAAGGGCACTCATCTCAAACAGAAAATAGTGGTACTGCAAAGTGCCACTGCATATGCCTAGGGAAGGGCAAAGATTAATCTGAGCAAGAGTTGGTGGCAGGTAACATCTCTTCACTTGGAAAACATCAGATCTCAACTTCACTTTGTGGCTGCCACCAGTGCAACGTTAGGGACCTAAAGAATACGGATGAAGACCAGCCTTCAGTGGCATGGTTATGTAGAAGAAGTCTCTGTTGGGCACACCCAAAGTGTATCCTTTTGCAACACTCCCATAAATATTCTGAAGAATATCTTATAATGCAGCCTCATGCTTGATACCAGACTCCAACACTGCAGGCCTCTTCACTCCTTCCCCTGTTCTGTCCCCAGCACTTTTTTTTTTTTAAGACTGAGTCTCACACTGTCGCCTGGGCTGGAGTGCAATGGCGCGATCTCAGCTCACTGCAACTTCTGCCTCAGAGATTCAAGCAATTCTCCTGCCTCAGCCTCCCGAGTAGCTGGGACTACAGGCACCCACCAACACGCCTGACTAATTTTTTTGTATTATCAGTAAAGATGGGGTTTCACTATGTTGGCCAGGTTGGTCTCAAGCTCCTGACGTCGTGATCTGCCGACCTCGGCCTCCCAAAGTGCTGGGATTACATGCATGAGCCACTGCACCTGGCCAGGACCTTTTTTTTTTTTTTTTTTTATTTTCTTTTTTTTTTTTCGGTGATTCTTCATTTTTTTGTACATTTTTTTGATTGCCCTCAATTCTCATATTCTCTCATATTATTCACTTCTTTCTGAATCTAGATTCTCTACCCAATCCTTAAGTTCCACCGTTTATTTGACAGTTATAGTTATCACTCAATAAGCATTTCTCCAATGACAAACACCACGTGAGGTATTTGGCATAATTTATCTTATTTAATCATCATTGCAGCCCTGCAAACTATGTTTGTCGTGAAGATGAGAAAATAGAGACTTAAGAGGAGTTAAATGACATGCCCAAAGTGTCAAAACTTAGCCTGAGTGGCACCATGATCTTGTGACCATATACACACTTGGAAAATTCTATTCTGTTACATAACATATGTGATTATGACATTGTTTCCATTTTATTGTAAAATAAAATAATAGTAATAATTGTCATTATAGTAATTAAAAAATACAAATAGGGGAAACCACATAAAATAAACTTATAGTTTAATAAATTGTTGTAAGTTGAACAGTCTTCTATTTATTATCCTTGTCAAGAAATAGAATATTGGTCAGGCACGCCAGAAATCCCTTCTGTGTATCCAGTCCCAATCACAGTCTCTCTCCCATGCCACCACATCATTACAACACCTTCTGAATGATAAGGATCACTTCTTTGCATTTCTGTATAGTTTTATCATCCAAGTGGGCATCCTTACATACTATAGTTTAATTTCTTTTAAAATGTGATGTCTTTTAAACTTCTTTTAGCCTATTGATTTTCTTTCTATCTCTTATTCTTACGGTAAACTGTTGAAGACTTACAGTTTCCCACAGTCTACACGTTGTGGATTGCATATTCACAGTATAGTATTTCAGGCTCCCATGTCCTCTGAATTTTTTGAAAAGTGTCAAGTGAAGCCACAGACTCGACGAGAGTCAGGATTGATTCCCTTGGCAAGAGAGAAAGTGGTACTCTGTTCTTCTGACAAAAGGCTTCTAGTCTCTTCTTGTGTGTTTTTGTGATGTTTCCAATCATTGATGCTCAATGTCTAGATCCATTCATTCACTGAAGATTTACAATACGAGAGCTATTCTTATTTATTTATTTATTTATTTATTTATTTATTTATTTATTTATTTACTTTGAGATGGAGTTGCGCTCTTGTTGCCCAGGCTGGAGTGCAATGGCATGAACTCAGCTCACCGTAACCTCCGCCTTCCGGTTCAAGCCATTCTCCTGCCTCAGCCTCCCGAGTAGCTGGGATTACAGGCATGCGCCATCACTCTTGGCTAATTTTGTATTTTTAGTAGAGATGGGGTTTCTCCATGTTGGTTGGGCTGGTCTCAAACTCCCGACCTCAGGTGATCTGCCCACCTCAGCCTCCCAAAGTGCTGGGAGTATAAGCGTGAGCCTCCACACCCAGCTCTTTCATTTATTATTTTTTTAATGTGTTATCTAAAATATTCTTTATAAAGAGGTATTTTTCATTTGGTCATGTAATGGAATCATTCATGTAGTAAGCCAGGATGAATGCTTGATTCTTTCTCTTTATCACTGTGTATAAAATGAATATGTTCTTATCATTCTTTTGAAACAACTAATTACTTTGTTTTTAATATCCTTATGAACTAATGCATTTAAAACTATTTGATGAGTTTTAATCCATTGTAATTACTATCTTTGCTGATGCTCACATTTTCACATCTTTTGCAGTGTGAGTTTTTAAAAATTGGCTCTTTACTCCCTTTGACACAATGTTGGTAATATTTAATGAACTTTGATAATTTTCATGCTATTTGGTAAGGCAAAATGTTTAAGGCTTATATTATATATTTCTTGCCCCAAATCTGGAATCAGCCATTTCTCCTTTAGTGGGTGTTATGAATTTAATTGTTTCCACCTAAAATTCATGTGAAGTCCTATTTCCAATGCGGCTGTATTTAGTGATAGGGCCAAAAAGAGGTAATTCAGGTTAAATGAGGTCATAAAAGTGGGATCCTGACAAAACAAGATTAGAGTCCTTAC